AAAAAAAATATCTTTAAACTGGCCTTTATTACATGGTCACAAATAAAGTTACAGTTAGAAGGGATGGGCAGGGAAAAACTAGTTTTGAGTGTCTTTGAATAGAAACAAACATAAGACTAAGATATGGATTTTTTTTCCTCATTAAAATATCTTAATGCTTTATGAAAAAAAAAAAAAGAATGTCCCTAGTGTTCAAGTTCTTCTTGCTATACAAAAAGAACACCTAAGATCAAATTGCCAAGGATGTCCCATCTCATCACTCCTTTTAAACACCATTTTGGAAGTCCTAGCTAATGCAATAAGAGAAGAAAAGGAAATTAAAGGTATACAGATAGAGAAGGAAAAAATAAAACTCTTTTTCATAGATGACATAATTGTGCATGTAGAAAATCCAAAAGATTCAATAAAAAGAAAAAAACTCCTTGGAACTAATAAGCAATTAGAGCAAGGGTGCAGATACAAAGTTAATATACAACAGATCAAACTGCAACTCCAAGCATTGTATCTATTGATCATATCACCACCTAAAAATAAAGTATGTTTATGTTCCCCCTTCTCAAGAGATTTTTGTCCTAATAGCTTTCATTATGTAGAATGTGTTCAAGGAGAAAAACAATTTTTTTTTAAATTGAGGAGTTTTTATTGAATTAGGGAGGAATTTGAAAAACTGTAGCACTAGGTGGTTGGGAAAAAGGGGTTCCTTTAAATGGTCTCTTGAAAAAAAAACTAAACACTTCTTTCTGTGACTTTGCGTGACGCGTAGGTGAATGAGAGCCCTCCTGAGCATGGCCTACTAGGCCAGGGCCTGCCAACCACCACCAGCCTCACTCTGCCCTGCTTCTCCTTGTTTTGCTCTCTCTACTCCATTGACATTGAAATTCCAGGCCATGCTTCCTCCTGCCCTAGAGCTCTGGGACCTGCTTTTCTACTGCCTGGAAGACTCTCCAATTCCTAGTCTGGTTAGGGAGTATTAATCCTTCAGATCTGAAGTACAACCATCTCTTCCTCCAGGAAGTCATCCTTGAAAACCCTGGCCGGGTCAGAGTCCTGTTTTACTTTCTTAAAGTATCTATCTTGTGGTTTTTCTTCATTGCACTTAGTGGTTTTAATTTTACTTGCAATTAATAACAATAGCCAACATTTAATGATCACTGTGCTGGGGCTGTTCTAAGAACTTCATGGGTGTCTGCTCATTTGATTCTCCCAAGGCACAAAAAGTGAAAGAAAGTTGCTCAATGTCACACAGTTAGTAAGTAGTACAGGTAGGACCTAAACCCTGTCAGAGCTGACATCTTAACCATTCTGCTCCGCTCTCTCCCTCTGAAGTAAATAATATGTATATCCCTATCAGACTGTGAGCCCCTCAATGGTATGTATTCACTGTTATGAACTGAATTTTGCACACACACACCCCAAAAATGAATATGTTGAAGTTCTAACCTTCAGTGTGACTGTATTTGGAGATAGGGCCTTTAAGGAGGAACTTAAAGTTGAATGAAGTCATAAGGGTAGGGCCCTAATTCAGTAGCATTGGTGTCCTCATGTCTTAGTCTGTTTGGGCTGCCATGATAGAACACCATAGACTGGGTGACTTATAAACAACAGAAATTTATTGCACACAGTTCTGAAGGCTGAGAAATCCAAGATCAAGGCTCTAGCAGACATGGGATCTGGTGAGGGCCCACTTTCTGGTTCATAGATGGCTGTCTTCTCACTGTAACATCACATGGTACAAGGGGCAAGGGAGTTGTCTGGGCTTCTTTTATAGGGGCACTAATCCCATTCATAAGGGCTCCACCCTTGTGACCTAATCACCTCCCAAAGGTCCTATTTCCTAATACCATCACATTGGGGGTGAGAATCTCAACATATGGATTTTTTTTGGGGGGGAGGAGAACAAACATTCAGTCTATTGCACCTTGTAAAAAGAGGAAAAGACACCAGGAGTGTGCATGCAACAGAGGAAAGGCCACATGAGGGCACAGTGAGACAGCAGCCATCTGCAAGCCAAGGAGAGAGGCCTCAGGAGAAAATGACACTGCCAGCACCTTGATCTTGGACTTCCAGCCTCCAGAACTAAGAAAAATTAATTTCTGTTGTTTAAATCATCCAGTCAGTAGTATTTTGTTCTGTCAGCCATAGTAGACTAATACAGTCAGTCTCTTCTTGCTTGCCATTATATACTTTGTACCAAGCAGCATGTCTAGCACATAGTAAGTACTCCAAAAATATATATTCAGGCATCACCACCTTTTCTGGAAAGTCTTCCCTCACGCTTCTCCCTTCCCCGCCCCTGACTTGAGTGTCCCTTTTGGGTTTCAGTTGCTATACTGTACACTTGGTTCCGGAAGGATATGTTTTGATGTATAATTTCTTTCTAGAAGGTTAAATCTTTGAATTTAAAGATTTCAAAGGGGCTAGTCTTCAGGCCTCAGCACAGATGGCATACACTGACAAAGTTTAATCAATACTTGAGTGAATGCAAGTCTCCTGACCCTTACACATGAGCCCTGAATGGGGAGCAAGAAGACCCGAGTTCTAGGTTTTATGAGCCTCAAAAGTAATCATGGGGCCGGCCGAGGGGCACGTCGGTTAATTGCCTTGGGACACCAGCTCTGAGCAGTAGGGCCCAGGTTCGGATCCCACATGGGCCAGTGATGCTGCACCCTCTACAGCTAAGTTGATGAACAACAACTTGACCTGTAGCTGGGCTGCCGTGAGTCGCCGGCCATGGTGTAGGCTGCAGTGAGTCTGCAGTGGGCTCCTGTAAGCTACCATGAGTGGCTGGCAGCTGGCGTGAGCTGCCGCGAGCCACCATGAGTGGCCATCTAATGGCCAGCAAGCGACTGCCTCACCTGGGAAGAGCGCAGCAATCACAATACCAACATGGGCCAATGAAGCGATGTCCTCCACAACTAGACTGAAGAACAAAAGGACAGCAACTTGTCTGTTCCCCTTCCCCAATTCCTCAATGCTGTTCCCTCCCCCCAATTTCCCAAGAAAATCTTTTTAAAAAAAGTAATCATGGCCTTGGGTTAATCCAGAGATCAAAGACTGGAGAAAATCCTTTATGCTCTGAAAAGTACAGGGTCATTTTTATGTCTGTTATGAACACTTGTGCAGTTGAGCTGAGCTCCTGAGCCTTAGTCATCTACTTGGCTCTAGCCAGACTTCTTGCTGTACCTCAAACATTCTAAGCTCACTTCTGTCTCAGGGCCTTTGCACTTGCTACCTCTTCTGGGAGCACACTTACCACATGGCAAATATCTGGTCTTAATTTTCAGTGTGTACGCCAGAGTTGAGGCAGGTGATGATGACTTTGAGGAAGCAACTCAGTTTCAGGGCTTCAGGGAAGAGAAGAGTAAGGCTCTCTGGGTTCCCATCCAGGTCCCACTGTTCTATTAGTTCATTTATCCCTCTCAACAGTCTTGACAGTATTTACTATCATTATCCCCATTTTACAGATGAGAAAATTGAGGCCGAGAGATTAAGCAACTTGCCAAAGCTCTCACAACTAGTAAGTAGCAGGGCCAAGATATGAATCCAGACAGTTTGGATCCAGTGTCCAGCTACTTAACCACTAGGCTCTCTGCTTCTTGGTGTATATTAAAACTTAATTAACATAGGGGTCTGGCATGGGGTAGTTGCTCCATAAGCTACAGTTATTTCTCTACTCTTCTCAGACAGTTGATTCTCTTAATCTTGCAATCCAACCCCCAGAATGAAGCCGACAACCCTTCCTACTCCACCTTGCCAGAGCTCAGGGTCCCTCCCTTCATCTTCTCATGCCTGCACATGCTGGGTAGCTGGATTCCAGGGCTCTAGAGTAAGGCTCTCTGGGTTCCCATCCACATTAAACCATTTACTAGCTCTGTAAACAAGGGAATATTCATTCCTCCCTGGGTCTCAGTTTCCTCACCTGTAAAATGGGGACAATAACACTACAGTAAGTCCCCGACTTACAAACGAATTCCATTCCGGGAGAACGTTCGTAAGTCGGGTTCGTTTGTAAGTCCGACAGTGGGTCTTATACACCTTTGACACAAATATACAATGTAAAGCATAAAAAAACTAAACACACACACATAAATATTGTAAATAAACTATTTTTACTTTGACAGTTACCTTAAAATGGTGGTACAGTACAGTACAACAACTGGCATATAGGGGATTGTGTGGAGTGAACTGACAACAGTTACTAACTGGAGGAGGGAAGGTAGGTGGGAGATAGGGGAGCTGCTTTTCCTCTTCTGGACATCCTGGGCTCTGAGCACTGTACTACTGTACACTATCGTACTGTACAGTAAGCACACAGCAGCAAAACTGTGACAATGTCCAGCAGACACATGAGCTACTTCCGCGATTTGTTCGCATCTACAAATGTTCGTAATGTGGGGTCCGTTTGTATCTGTGAAAGTTCGCAAGTTGAATGTTCGTAAGTGGGGGACTTGCTGTACCTATGTCCTAGAATTATTAAAAAGATTCAGTGAGATGATGCATAGATGATGCAGAATGCTTTCCACTTTGCCTGGTCCATAAAAAGTGTTCCATAAATGGTAGCAATTATGATTAGGGCTTCTTGATGAGAAGCCTCCAATGGTCCTGAGGCTGTGAAATACACACCCAGCCACCTTTAGGGCCCATGTTGGGACCAGATTAACTCATTGTTTACAGAAAAGGCTGGCTGGGTGAGAGGACCCCTCACCTGATCCCACCTAGGACCTACTAGTCAAGTGCTTCCTAGAGGCAGTCTGGTTCAGGAATGATCTCTTGGGTCTGATAGGCCTGGGTCTGAATTCCAGCTGATTTCTCCTCAGGGTCTCATTTTATTCATCTGTTAAATAGGAAAGGAGCAGTGTGAGGAGTGATTAAGAATGTGGGTTTGAAACTATAATTATATATACATATAGTCATGGGATGTGGAGTAGAGTGTGGGAATGGAGTCAACGGAATTGTAATAGATAAGTATGATATCAGGAGTGGGAGGGCAGTGGATGGGGGAGAGGGGTTGTTACTTTGTGAGGGGTGAAAAGGATAACTATTGCATTGTTCTGTACACCTGAAACTAATATTAAAAAAATAAATTAATTTAAAAAAAAAGAATATGGGGTTGAATCTATTCCTTGCTCTGCCAAGGACCAGCTATATGAGCTGAATGTCTTCACTTCCATGCACTTTGGTTGTCTGTTCTAATGGGTTTTGTCATTATTCCTCTTCCTAGGGTGGCTGAGGATTCCCCAGGACCATGTGTGCCCACACTGGGGACAGTGTAGCTGTTAGGATGGAAAGCAGTGTATACCAATGGTTAGGAGCCTAGGTTCTGGAGGCAGACTGCAACAGGCCTAGTTCAAATTCTGCTCTTGCAATTATTTCCGGTGAGGTCTTAGGGAAATCAATTATCTTCTTTCAACTTCAACTTGTTTATCTGTAAAGTGAGAATAATAACAGTAAATATCTGATAGAGCTTGTTATGAGAATTCAATCAAATGATGCATGCAAAGCACTTAAAGCTGGCCTAGTTCAGTATAAGTGGCAAAGATTTCATGAGGGTGATTTTTAAAATATCCTTTTCTAGAATGCAAATACATTTGCCTAGCAGTTTGAGGAGCTGCAAATATGCGCTGAGTGCTGGAGCCTTCAAGATCAGACTTAAGTCCAAAACAAAAATAAAAAACAAAAAAACCCCCGCATTTGTAGATGAGGTAAACCAGGGCCAACGTGATCACATCAGACACCATCCCACATCTATAAGATCAACCCTACTTAACTGTAGTGTACCTTGAATGCTGGACTCACCAGGACAAGGTCGGAGTCCCAGCAATGCCCATACTCACCGTGGGACCTGAGACAAGTGACTTTACCTCTGACCTCAGAGGTTAACCCGGCATAGTAATCAGCTAGCCCTCACAGAGTTACTTAGAAAAAGTCAATGAGATGACGCACAAAGTGTGAGTGGTACACGGAAAGGACTCAGTAAGCGGAAGCTGCTGTTACTACAGCTACAACGCCTGTCTTTCCCCTACTTTTTGAGGGGTTTGTTCCGGCGGACCGGACCCTAGCCTTAGGCAGACTCCCTCCCGTTTCAGCTCCGTCTATTTGCCCCAGGCTCCTCCACGTCATGCCCTCTCCAACAGGGTCCTCCTGGGCCAACCCCCACTCTCACCTCCCAACCTACAGCTCCTCAGCTAGTCGCAGGGAAGGAGGAGCCAGACAACATTCCTCGGAGCCCGAGAGCTGAACAGAAGCGCAGTGACAGAGCCCTAACCGCCTGAAACCGTTGTGCCGGGCTCCCGCCTCCCGGTCCTCTGGTCAATTAAAATCGAAGAAGCAAGCCTTGGGACCAATCAGAAGTGGAAGCGGTGTAGCAATACCCGCCTTCTTAAAGCGCCCTTGCTCCTCATTGGATGTGTCAAGCGCGAACCCAAGGCTAAGCGGCTGAGAAGAGTGGGGCTAGCCAATCAGCGGTGCGCCCGCAGCGGGGTTGGTGGGAGAAGGGGGGCAGTTGGCCCTTGCAGACTCGCGCGGTGCGAGCTCGCAATGTGTCAGCCCAAAACCCTGCCTAGGCAGAAAGCCTGCTGGCCGGGATCTAAGCCCGGGCCAACTAATGGCGGGGCAGCGAAATAGGCCACTTTCTGTACGACGTAGTGGGGGACTGGCACACGAAGTACGCAGTTAATCCTGGCTCAACTGACAGTCGAGGTGTCAATAAACATTTGAAGCGCGAGTATCTAGACCATTCACGGGTCAAGGCACTGCCCCCTCTTGTGTCTTTCCTGTCCGAATACTTCCGGGTAAGGCAGGGTGCGTTCTGCAACCAATCAATCAGTGGTGGGTCAGAGCTGGAGGCAGGAGAGGAGAGCTGCCCATAGGCACCTGAAGGCTGGCTGGCTTTTGAGGGCCTTTCAGCCAATCACACATATCTCCACAGTTATGTAAGGGGCTGAGAGAAAGGTGAAAGGGTTTGTAACGAGAGCTACTCAAAAACAAGAAAGCGGTGGTATCCCTGAGCTCTTGCGAGGGGAGCCTCCAAGGCTATTCAGGTGAAGGAGGTTCAGGTCCCAGTCTCATCAGAGAAAGGGTGAGAGACGGCAAACTCCACAGTCAATCAGCTTTGGAGTTAGGCTGGAGGATGAGGTCTCCCCCTTAGAGGCCTGAAGCGTCAGTCCACAAACCAATCAGACTCACGGCGCGAGTTCCGCAACCAATCAGCTGCGGGCGCGAGGCAGTGGCGCTGTCCTAGGTGCCGCCCAGGCTATTGTGCACGCTCTGCAGGCAGGAGCCTGGAAAGAAGGTGCGGCCAGCGCCGCAGCCAATCAGCATCGGCCTGGGGATCCAGGCGCGAAAAGCGAGCTGTGCACGCGCCTGGGCCTCGCGTTCCTGGCCTAGCGCGCCTCCCCACTTTCTAACCGCCACTTGGGCTTGTGCCGCCCTTAGTGTATGCGAGGCTGAATGGGGAGAGGAACAGGGTCTGAGTTGGTGAGTGCTATGGTTTTTCTTATTCTTTTTCAGGCTTGGGCCTGGCCCAGGCAAAGCTGGGGCATGGGGGCTTGAGTGATCGCCGTGAGGGTCGGGAAGTGAGGGCTGAGGGGCTTTAGACCCTTGGGAAACTCTCTCTGTCCTCGAGAGGCTGGAAATGGGGCCTCCTGAACACCTTCGGGCCCAGGCTGGGCAGAGGCCAGGCCAGCATGTCCTATGAGTTGGTCCATGGTCCCTGAAGCCAGCCTGATTTGGAAGTGTGTTGTAGGGCAGTTGGAAGCCCTTGGAGCCCAGCGTGGGGCCATTGGCCATAAGGTATGGCCTGTGAACTGTGAGAGGTTGTCTGGGATCTGGTGACTGGAAGGAGAGGCTTGTGACTCTTCAGAGGTTATTGGGAGTTACTGGCCAACAGATGAAACTAGTGTGCACTTGAGAGCTTTCTGGGGTTTCTGAATCCAGCCTGGGCTGAGAGTGAGCACTAATGAGATCAAAAGCCCAATGAGAAGTTGTCAAGGGTCATTGCATCCAGGCTGTGCTGGGAACATGTGGCTGCAAGGCTATTAGGGGTCTTTGGACTCTAGTTCAGGTGCTCTTGGCAGATTTTCCAGTATTGGGTCCAGGTTGGACCATGTAGCCAGAAGGTTAGGCTCGTGGTCTTCTGAAGCTTCTGGGGAGTGTGTGTGTGTGGGGGGGGGGGGGGGGAGCGAGGGTCTCCAAATCCCAGCCAAGTTGTTTGCCCTCCATGAAGTATTATTGCCTTGTGGTGGCTCTAGACAGAACCAGGCTTGGGTCATGTCTGGGGCCTTTCAGTTCCTGTCCTCACCTCTTCCCCACATCCTTTCTGGTCACTCCCAGAAGACATGAGGCTATAAGCAGGGGGCAGGTGCATGGGTAAGATGGATGTCATACTGGAGCACAAAAAGAGATGTGTGAGATATGCTACTGTTTAGGAAATCACCCATGTTGTCTTTACCGAAGGTATTTTTATACTTATGGGGCAGGGTGTTGATATCTATATTCACTCAGCTTTTCCAGCTCTACATGTTATTAAAGCTTTCAGAGTGCTTTCATGTATACCTGGAGTTCTTAAACCAAGGATAGGGGAATGCAAAGGGGTGGTCTATGAGTGGATTTCAGGGGTCTATGAACTCTTGGAAATCATAAGAAAAACTGTATGCATGTTGGATTTGGGGGGTATGGGGCAAAAGCAGTCAAAGGACAATGATGGGCGTCAGAGCAGTCTGTGAATCCCCTGTCATTTATATGCAAAATGGCATAAAAGTCTACAATTTCCTGATGTAAGGAGTTAATTCTATGGGTTACATTTTCAAAGGAACAGTGACCCTCTAAAAGGTTAAGAAGTATTGGAATAAAGCAGGCTCCCATATTACTTATGAGGCCTGGGCATGACTAGAAATGGAGATTCGCCCTTTTCTTCCCACACCTGATGTTGGTGCACACTTCAAAGTATCTCACATATTAACTTGCATGTCCAAGCTCAGTTTACATGCCCCTCACACATAGTTAGAGCCTAGGCTGTTGCATCAGACCCACAGTCCACTCTCATGAATATCGATCTGGGCTTGAGGACCATGTAGACCCTGGAAGTGGGCCATTTGGGCTAGGAGTTCCAGGGTTCTGAGTTCCCAGAGCATAGTCTACAATTGAGGGGCACAGGTTCCAGGTGGGTACTTCCGAGATGACCTTGCACTCCTCAGCCCATGGGGAGGGACACAGCCAGAGGATGTCAGCATCAGGCCCTCTCCTTGGGTTTCAGGCAATACTGGTATTCAGTACTGGTCTTGGAAACAGCCCCTGTGAGGAAGTTGAGGGTCTTGGAAGAATTAGCCCATATTAGGGCTGAAGAAAAGGCCCTTCACCTTGAGGATGTAGCGCAGGGGTCGGCAAGCTGCGGCTCGCGATCCACATGCGGCTCTTTGGGTACATACGTGTGGCTCTGAAGTAAAATTGAAAATGAAAATAAAACTATCATAGTTTCATTTATAAAATTTTTAAAGGCTATTATTCACATAATGGTGATTTCATTTGTTTTATGGCTCTTGAATAATTTTTAAATTGTCATGAGGGACAGGATTGGCTCTTCTGTCTCAAAAGTTTGCCGACCCCTGATGTAGTGGAACCTAAGTTTTTTTACTTCTAGTCCAGTTATTTTTCCACTTAATCCACTTCTCTTCCAATTATGTCCTATGATAGGGTCTCTATGACCTAGATTCAGCTCATCTGGCTATAACTATATCTGGTTCTTGGGTTATTCAGAACATAGATTTAAAGGAAGAAAGAAATGAATTCACTCTGTGGTGTCTCTTCTCTAGTATATGTTGGATGTGCTTAACTAGAAAAAGTGAACATTTGAAAGTTTATGTATGATTTGGATAGTGACTGGTCTTATTCAATAGAAAATGCTGCGTGTGTGTATGTTTGGGGGGTGGGGGCGTTAACCACCTTAATTTGCGTAAAGAGATGCATTCCTGGGAAGAGTGGAAAGTTCACAGAATTTTTCTAAATTGAATCTTGTTTAACTTGACTTTGGAGGTACTCAATATTTAAAATAAGTGAGATAAAGGGAGAATATTTTTCACAAAACAAATAACCACTCCTCTAATTGGCCTATTCTGGTGGTTTAATTTTAATTATAACACTTGAAGAGAATCCATACTTGTATTGCTGTGTTGTTTTTATATCAAGCTGGGTTGTGCCTGAAGGGGCTCTTAGTCAAGCTTATCAGTAAGAATAAAAAATACCAGATTTCAAACTTTATTTAGTAATATGAGTATTATAAAGGCCTGAGAGGCAAAAATCATACCTCCTTTTCCCACATACTTCTCTTCCAATTATGTCCTACCTAATTTCGCCTACGCAGGCTTGCATCCTCATAACCTGTGGTTCCCTGGCTCTGCCCCTACTGAGTCAGCCTGAGAAGTGGAAGGTGGGCAAGGTTTCTGAGACTGGGGAGGGGGGACCTTTCAAGAATAAACAGCAGTGACCCTGTCCTTCCAAATCAAAGTGCTATTTGCTTCTGCTGTCAGTGCTCACTCAGTGCAATATGTCTTGGGCTGTGCAGTCAAGAATGTAGGGAGAGAGAAGGTCCTAGAGCAGCGGTTCTCAACCTTCCTAACGCCGCGACCCCTTAATATAGTTCCTCAGGTTGTGGTGACCCCCAACCATAAAATTATTTTTGTTGCTACTCTATAACTGTAATTTTGCTACTGTTATGAATCGTAATATAAATATCTTTTTGTTTTCCAATGGTCTTAGGCAACCTCTGTGAAAGGGTTGTTCGACCCCCAAAGGGGTCACGACCCACAGGTTGAAAACTGCTAGCCTAGAGAGTTATCAACCTAAAGGCTGAGGTGTAGAGGGCCCTAGAGATACCTCTAAAGAGACAGTCTCTAAAGGGATATCCTTAGGTGGGGTAGACACCAAGTGGGAGGCAAGATGGGGTTTCCCATTCTTGGGGGCTTTTGTTCACTGAATGGGGACTCCCCTTGCCCCTTCTGCTCCCTTTTAAATTTCCTAAAAGCCAATTGTCACTTCCTGTCAACTACATTTGGCTTACAGACGATGCTGCCCTTTGAGCACAATCCAACTCCCTTGATCATCAATGGGCAAACCACACCAGTGGGGGCGCTGAGTCACAGAAACATGATATAGGGCTGGGAGGTAAGGGGGACCACACTCCACTAGATGGTGATGTCATCATCCAGACCCCTGTACCTTTCCTTCTACATGTGGGGTTTCTCCCTCGTGGCTTTTCCCGCATATTCCGTATCTTCAGGGATTGTGTATTCCTGTGTTGGAGGATGTTTGCCTCTTGTATACATATCAGGGATTGGTGCTTTTATGTGTCCAGGCCAAATGACTTATATAGGTGTCTAATGAGTCCCTGGGTGTGGTGGTGGTGTGAGGAGTTAGAAATGGAAAACATTTCAGAGTAGCTAGTGAATACAGCTTACCAATTTGCATTTTCCCTTTCACTCTGACTCATCTTCCCCTCTCCCCACCCTATTATTGCCCCTCCACCAGCCCCACCCATTGGCACACCCTGTCTGATCTAGGAAGGGTTAACATCTGCTTGCACCCAAGCTAGAATGAAAGGTAAAGAGAAGGCATGTTAGGTGTGGAGAGGGAGAGTAGAAGGCTGGTCTGAACATTTTGGGGTTCTGGAGCCAAAGGAAGAAACATGAGTTTAGAGACATAATATTTGCGTCTAGGAGGGGACCAGGATCTAAGGGAGAAGCCTAGGGGGAACCAGACAGTCATCAGAGCAGCCTACCAATGCCTGACTTGTTTATCTTCCAGTTATTTATCGGGCATATATGATATGCCAGGCACATATCATACACTTATGATATGCTGCATTAATAAAAATTTGCCACAGGAGGAAGGATAATGGAATAAGAAACAGAAAAAGAAATTTGAGTTTCTCAGACCTCATCCTTTCCCCAGGTTAAAGTGCTAAAGTGTGAAAAGGGGAAATCTTTGAGGACCTTGACCCTTTGGGCAGGAAGTGAAAGAAACCCCGGAGTCCTGATTTCAGAGAAATGTCATTTGTCATCAACCCAAGAAAAGGAGTTTTTCTTTTCGAAGACCACCGCAGGCCCTTCCTGGGGTTGCCCCCTTCAGAGCATGATGGGAGGATCTGAGTCACTCACACACCCAGTCCCCAGTGGTGGCCCAGATGACAGTGGTCAGTCCCACATAGCAGTCAAGGCTTCCTAGTACCAAGCCAGACATGCTTTTGGCCCTCTTTTACTCTCTCCTTGGAATTCAGATGTTTGTCATTTTTACTTCTAGAGTAGAAACAGCTTCTAGCTGCTAGAGCTCTATTGACACCTCTAAGAAACAGAACTAATATTTGAATGATGCTATGTACTGACAAACCACTTTCATACTCATCATTTCATCCTCAACTCCACCTCCAAATGAGATAAGCAGAGGTTATCCCTATTTCATGGATGAGGTAACTGAGGCTCAGAGAGATGACTTGCCCCAAATGACTCAACTAGTAAATGGCAGAGATGAGACTCAAATGCAGGTCTGATTAGTTCAAAGTTCTTGTTGCCTCAGGTGCACTTCTTTGGCTCTAGAAGTTCATAAATGAAACAAGGAGACAGGAGGTTAGGAGGCAGGATGTGTGGTTTCTGGAAGTAGAGGAGGTAGTCTCCCCTGGGAAGATGAAGCAGAGCCAGGGGTATAAAACCACACCCCCTTCAGGGACACTGGCAGACTGATACTTGGGACACCCAATGGAAGACTGTGAGGTCAGGGGCGGGGCTAGCTGAGGGCTGGGGGCAGGAGCCCAAACAGCAGTTCAGAACATGCGGTGTCCAGGAGGAAGCTACAACTGGTGAGTGGTTTCTTCTCCCCAGCTGAGACTTCCCTCCCATTATACCCCTCTTTCTGTGTACTTCCTGCCAACCTGTAGCCCTCTTCCTGAGGTGTCCAAGTAGTAATCCTCCCTCCAACAAGGGTCCTTACCCATGGTGAGCCCAGACCTAGGAATATGCCTGCTGGGAACTGAGATACTTGGGTCTGTCTCTTTGTATCTGGGTTCCCAGTTCTCTTCTTAAAAGCCAATGTGGTGGTTTTGATGTGTGATAATCTGCCTTGTTGGGTTCTTTCTATTCTTCACTTTTGGCTTATGAAAAACAAAATTAAACCATCTCCTTATCTTAACCTTGAAAGGAAATAGCCTCTCCCTTTACAGTTCTCATTTCCCTTACTCTTGCTTCCTTGGAGGTCAGTCTTCTCCAAAACTTTTCTCCATCCTTGGGTCAAGAGCCTTCTCTCCTGTGGCTTTAGCACTTGCTCTCTTAACTCACTGGATGGGAGTCTTTGGTCCCTTCCCGTTCCTTCTCTGAGGTTGTGTTCTAGAAGCTTCAGCCTCAAGAAAACATTTGATTGATGCCTTAGAGCCTGCCCTCCTGCAGCTATGACCCCTGTCTTGCTGCCCTTTCTGCCTCTCAAGACCCTCAGCTCCACGTGATGGGCTTGTGTGGAGGACATGCTAGCTCTTTAAACTCTCCCATGAAACTGTGTCTTTCTCCATCCCTAACTGCTAGAGCTGACTGGGTCTGGTGGTGTTCTCTTTGTCTGAAATGAGGACAGCCTGGCATACTCAGAGGTCTTTCCCTGCAGTGGGGCTCAGAGAAGCAAAAGCACATGTCTGCTATCCTTTCAGTCAGATTTCCCATTGACAGCATCCATCTATACTAGTCTTAAACCCACTACTTGATATAGTTGTTAACTGCCAGGTCCTTGCTCTTTTTTTTTTTAAAGATTTTTATTGGGGAATTGGGGGGATGGGAACAGTGCTGGGGAATTGGAGGAAGGGGAACAGACAAGCTGCTGTCGTTTTGCTCTTCAGTCTAGTTGTGGAGGACGTTGCTTCACTGGCCCAAGCTGGCACCATCATTGCGCTCCGCTCCTCCCGGGTGAGGCAGATCAGTCGCCGGACTCTGGACGGCTGCTCACTGCGGCTGCTGGCCTCTCACGCTGGCTGCTGGCTACACACGGTAGCCCATGGCAACCCACCGCCACAGGGGCTGCAGACTACGCCGTCACCGGCGACTCAGGGCAGCCCAGCTCCAGGTTGAGCTGTTGTTCAGCATCTTAACTGTGGAGGGCAGTGTCACTGGCCCTCACATGTGGGATCCGAACCGGGGCTCTCTGGCGTCCCAAGCCAGTTCCTAACCATCCCTCCACTTGGCCGGCCCGGTCCTTGCTCTTTAAGTCCTGAATTTGGTCTAATTTCCATTCTCTTGCCACCCAACCCCCACCCCCTGGCCTCTATTATAGTTCTAGATAACCTGAGGTCCTCTCTTAGGTTAGTTTATTTGCTCCATTCAGGACTGAGCTCTGATCCAGAGCCAACAACTCACTCTTTCTCCCCTCACCTCCACAGGCTTGAGAATATGCTGTTCCTCCTTCCTCTTTCCACCATGGATCTCACACTGTGGCCTTTCTCTCAGAACCTCTGAGATTGGTACCCAGGCAAGGCATAATGCCCCTGTCCCCGACAAGACTGCCTAGCCCCTATGGCTCTGATCGACTGGTACGGCTAGCAGCCAGGCTCCGGCCAGCACTATGTGACACCCTGATTACTGTGGGGAGCCAGGAGTTCCCTGCTCACAGCCTGGTGCTGGCAGGTGTGAGCCAGCAGCTGGGCCGCAGGGGTCACTGGTCTCTGGTGAAAGGAATCAGCCCTTCCACCTTTGCACAGCTTCTGTACTTTGTTTATGGGGAGAGTGTAGAGCTGCAACCTGGGGAACTGGAGCCCCTTGAGGAGGCAGCCAGGGCCTTGGGGGTGCAGTCCCTGGAAGAGGCATGCAGGAGGGCTCGAAGGGACAGGGCTAGGGTAGAACTGAATCCAGGGCTGAAGGAACTTCAGGAGCCAGAAAAACACACAAGGGATTCTGAGAGAGGAGTGGGAGGTCTTGGAGAACAGGGACCAGGGAAGTTTGTTAGACCTGGTGACAGAGAACAGGAGATGTTGCATGAGCACAGGCCATCAAGAGAGAGCCCTGAGATGGCAGAGGCAACGCAGGAGGGCCAGAGGGAACAGATGAGATCAGAGGAGAAGCTCAACCAATTCCCTGTTGGCTACAGGGGAGTAGACGGAAAGCAAGGAATGATCATGTGGGTGAGGGAGAGTCCAGGGGGGTCTGAGGGAAGTCTGGGGGAGTTCCCTGGCTCCCTTCCCCCACCAGGTTCCCTCCAAACCAGCATCACCCCTAGGCCCCGGTGGGCTGAGGCCCCTTGGTTGGGCGAGGGCCAGCCTGCCCTGTGGAGCATCCTGCTATTGCCACCCAGATATGGCACTCCCTTCTCCCATAGCACCCCCATCACTGCAGCCTGGCAAGAGGTCTGGCCTCAGGACCAGAGGTGAGTTAAGGGCCTAATGGAAGCCTGGTTGGGAGGGAATGGCTCAGGAGAGGCAGTGGTGATGGGTGGAAGGGTACCACATCTCTTAGCTCTATTGTACATTTCCTGAGCTGGAGACAGGACAAGAAGCTCCCACCCACAGGGGAAGCCAAAGCCCAGCCCTGGAGAAACACCTCCCCCTCCAGGAAGGGATCGGTCAGGACCCCAGGTTTTGCCAAGGCGGTAACTCTTCCCCACCCCACCCCCAGGATCCCACTGTCCCTGAACCTCCACAAAGGGCTCTGGAGCCAGAACCAGTTGGCCTCCTCCAGCCCTACCCCAGGTAAGTCCCTCACTGTCCTGCATGAACCCTGTCACACTGTCTCTGCTGGGGCTGGGACCGCAGGAGTCCAGCCTGAGCAGGACTCCTACTTCACTATGCTCCCTCCAGGTTCCCTTCACCAGGGCCCCACACAGCTCAGCCCTGGGATGGAAGAGTCTGATCAGAGGCACACAGGTGAGTATGGTGAGGGCGCTTTTGCCTCAGCCCCACTGTAGCATGATGTCTTGCCTGGGTGTTCCAGTGATCTGGTTCTGGGATTCCCAGCCCTGCCCTCTTTTGCATTCTCTTTCCCCACAGGAGCACTTGCAACCTGTGTGGGCCGTGTGGGCACAGCAGGCTGCCCATCACACCAACATCCTCCCCCTACCCCTCCTGCTCGATCTCGGCCAAAGCCCTATTCTTGTTCTGTCTGTGGAAAGAGGTTTTCACTCAAACATCAGATGGAAACACACTACCGAGTCCACACAGGTATGGGCGCATGGTGTGTGTAAACTGTCTGCTTCTCTCCAAGCATCGGTCTGCCCGCCCCTAAGTCCCTGTGTGTGCCTGGTTCTCGCACAACTCCCTTGCCCAGTCGCGCCAATCTACCCTTAGGTCAGCCTTCACCCGCTTCTTTCCTTCACCAGTCTTACCCTCCACCCTCCCTAGGAGAGAAGCCCTTCTCCTGTAGCCTCTGTCCCCAACGCTCCCGAGACTTCTCTGCCATGACCAAGCACCTGCGGACACACGGGGCCGCACCCTACCGCTGCCCTCTGTGCGGCGCAGGGCGCCCCAGCCTGGCCTCCATGCAGGCGCACATGCGCGGCCACTCACCTAGCCAGCTCCCGCCCGGATGGACCATTCGCTCCACCTTCCTCTACTCCTCCTCCTCCTCGAGGCCATCCCGGGCCTCGACCTCTCCCCTGTAGGCCCTCTTCCACCTCCACCTGACGAGATGTCGGTAGTTTATTTGGCTTCAGTCAAAGAATGAAAGAAGTAAAGAATGAAAGACGGGCAGGCGGGCTGGCTAGGCTTCTGACCCGGCGCCGCGGCTTTGGCTGCCTAGCAAATTCGCCTCTAAGAAGCGCCGCAGGAAAGGCGCTGAGAGCTCTCTCCCAGATCACCGCGGGCCGCAGAAGCCTGGGCGGGCCAGCGATCCCGTGTCGGGTGAGGGCAGTGAAGTTTGCACAAGTGAAGGTTCACTGTGTGGGGACTGTTGATTTCATCACCAAAATAAAGCGTTTCCTGTGACTTTCTCAGGACAAGAAAGCCGAGTCCAGACTTTAGTCAGTAGCCGGGGTGGGGGTGGGGATCCGCAGCCTGGCCCCTAGTCCTGTAGCGGCCCCTGGTGGCCCTGCGCCTGCACTTCCGCGCGGCGGCCACCTTCTCCATCTCCCGGGCCTCCCTGTTCTTTCCCGGCGGCAGTGGGCCGCGAGGGCTCGGTGTCCAGGCAGACTTAGCAGCAAGCCCTGTGGGGGAAGGCTGTGAAAACCCAAGTTACTGTCCCTACCACGGCAAGCAAAGTCGTGCGGAGTCTGAGTCTGGGGGCCCGGGGCTCGAGAGGAACGCGTGATCCGCCCTGCTCTCCGTCACCCGCCTCCTCTCGTTGAGCAACAGGGCCGCAGGGCCGCGGCTTCTACGGCAATTTTCTTGCACGCTGTACGGAAAGGCGGCCGGGTTATACTTCTAACTGAGACTACCCCTTGACCGCCGCCCCTTGCTCAGCCCACACCTCCTGGAGTCGCGAACTCTATTACCCAGTGTCTCCGGGGTTCTGAGGTTCCAAAGCCCCCTGCACACTGGGAGTGGTAGTTCATGCGTGCCGAGGGCCTAGATAAGAACGATAGGAAGAGTCTGGAGGGGAACCACAACTCCCGGCGGCCCGGGAGATGGCTTTCTTTCTGGGGCCGGTCGGGACCCCATAGTCCCAGCTCTCGCGGCCCTAGCTCCCGGCGGAAAAAGCGAAGCGTCCGGACTACATTTCCCTGAGGCCCCTGCGCCTCACCCCTCTCCGACCGCGACGCGAGGTCTATGCTTTTCAGGCGCGGTCTAAGGTGACGGCCGACCGGCCTCGGACTCCCGCTCCCGTGGTGCCCCGCGCGTGACCGACCCAGCCCCCGGCTCCCGCCAGCCCCGCGGCGGCGCTGCTTGTTGTCGTGAGCCGCA